CTTTCTCTTAAAATAGCCATCGCATTAGGTAAATCATATACTTTATCATCGTATTTCAGCAGTAAAAAACGAGTAACTGAAATTGATGTTGTTTTCAGCCCAAATAATGATGATGTTAATGGTGTCATCGCCTTCAACGGGCTTCAGTCGAAGTAGAGCAACGTTCGTCGTTCATTACAATTCTGGGGCAGGTATTTATTTAAAAAAATGTATCTGGTGAGAACTTTAAGGAATGAGCACATCGAGACTTGTATCCAAGTCTAGTAGCTTTAATTGAATACCATAAAATGGGGTTACTTTGACCGGCGGGGTAACTTTGACCACTTTTCATTTTTTTAACATAAACCCCCAAAACTCAAAAACGATTTGACATAGAAAAATTTTGTCAATGGCCATCAAAGGCCTAATACTGACGCTACGTAACACAATAGAAAGAATTAAAAAGTTTGCATATCTAAAAGGTTAAAAAATTAATAATGTGACCCACAAAAAAGAGCTATTATTTAAAGCCTGTCGGAGTACCCCCTCCAATTTTTTTATTTTTTGGTAAAATAACTCCAGGTCTTGATGCATTGTAGTAGAACTCTTCTAGTTACATATGGAAAAGACAAATTTTAGGAAAGTGTCATAGTTTGCAAATGGGGGGCGCCGCCCCCCAACGGGGGAAATTTGACCACCTAATGGCAGCTGTGACGGGGTAACATTGACCGGCTTGGAAATTAAGTTAAAATTACCATAGGTATCTATATAACATTTTATGTTTGATACACCTATTAATGTTCTTTTCTTTATGTTTCAGACTCTACAGAGTCTTATATATGGCAATTTTAACTTAATTTCCAAACCGGTCAATGTTACCCCGTCACGGCTGCCATTAGGTGGTCACATTTCGCCCATTGGGGGGCGGCGCCCCCCATTTGCAAACTATGACACTTTTCTATTCTAAAATTTGTCTTTTGCATATTTAACTAGAAGAGTTCTACTACAATGCACCACAACCTGGAGTTATTTGGAATTATTTTACCAAAAAATAAAATTTATTTTACCACCCGGTCAAAGAAACCCCAAGAGCTGGGGTAACAAAGACCATCACTTTTTTTAAATTACATCAAAACTATGAGAGGCAGGAGCCAGCAATTTATGGTGAGTAAAGCTAGAGTATAGACCTGTATTTTGCATGTTTCAATTTAAGTTTAACTTATCTAGTAAAAAAATGGCATCATCTTCAAAAAAAGTGGTACCAAAGTTACCCCATTTTACGGTGATTAATTTAACTAACCAAATTTTTTGAAAACTTGTGCGTTCAGCTCTAATACAGACTGAAGTTTAATACGTTTGGCAGTGATAGGTAAATCAATATTGTGTTTGCAGTCACGTATACAAAGATGAATTGTAAACTCAGCCACGTAGTTTCGTTTGTGTGATTTTGTACGTCTGGTGTGTAGCCTCAAAGTTACTGATATAGTGTTATGCCTCACAATGAGAGAAGGTACGTCTCGTGCCGAGTTCAATGTGATGGTGAAATCATCGGTCCGGCTGCATAAGGATAGTGCGGTTGTTTCAACGCTATAGGTCGCGTCCCTCTTCCCACTGACCGCCGCCTAATAAGGAGACTTGGTGACCGCCGTACCGCGCGCCTCTTGCCAATTACCGGACTGTTGTGGGCTGTGCTTATCTGGTCTGTTGTGGTCTGTGCTTATCTGGTCTGTTGTGGGCTGTGCTTATCTGGTCTGTTGTGGTCTGCCGCTTGTGTGAGCGTATACTGCCGCTTGTGTGAGCGTATACTGCCGCTTGTGTGAGTGTATACTGCATGCAACCGTCCATTGTGAGGTGCAATTTTGTTATTGATTGATGAAGCAAATGCAGGACGGAAGTTGAAAAAAACTGCCTCTGCAGAGTGTGGATCGCGCGCGAAAAATATCATCTCGTGTATTGTTGGTTATTAAATGAATGATTGGTTTATTTTGGTTGCATACGATCATGATAGGCTTCATCGATGCTATTTTTATCTTGTCTTTTTTTATCTGGCTTCAATAAATTAGTTTCGACTCGCTGCCAACTAAAATTACTAAAATTAGTTACAATAGACTCGCGGCCAACTAAAACCGGACGGCAAGCCGAGGGATGGAGAGATCATTCCAATTTGTAAGAAATTATAATTGACAGAAAAGGATTGTTGTTTTGTTCACACATGGTTCAGAAGCATAGGGAAAAGAACCTACAGCGGTCTGCTGATTTCACACTCCTGCAAATAAACACAGATTATAGTACACAGTAATAACAACTATCGTGATGTAAACCCACAAGTCGGCTACAACTCAAACAGTAACTTCTAATATCCACGGCTATAATATCATGTGGCTGATGATGCAAGTTCTCATCTCGTATATGCGGGCGGCCAGTTCCACAAGGACTCAAGTATATAATGGCTGAAACCTAATATAGGCCCATCCCAGTCTTGCTGATGTTGCCAAAGCACGCGTTTCTAATTACTTATAAAGCTAAAACACTGCAGTTAATTTTAATATTGTAAATTAACTCTTTATTATGTTCTATTGATCCGTTAAGTCTAGTAATTCGATGTGTCAAGTGACCATAATTAAATTTCCATACAATACTTTCATCGAGTTGTGCGAGAGTTTTCCCATCACTTTCAACACGTTTTAGTAGTTTTTACAACTCAATACAATTTCGGCAACGTTTCTATTGCCATAATAGTCAGAATAGTCTAATATTCTAGTCAGAGGCGGCGATTCATCGTGGCCTGGGACTGCAACGCCCGAAACATATACTAATTATACTGAACATTAGAATGTTGTAATGCTTCGCCGATATCTGATCACAGCTCGTAGCATGACTCACTGCCTGCAGTCCAGCTCCAGTGAGTGTCCAGCTTCCGGTGAAGTGAACAGATCCTCGACCATCCCCCCTCTCCCCCACGACAGGGTGGAGAATAGAGCGTCTCGTTTTGCATGGACCGCCACACGCTTCGTGACCACTTCCACTTTCTCCCGCTAACGTCCCATGATTTTATATATTATTTGAGTTCCTTTACTCAGATATGCCATTAAATGAATGAAGTGATGCGTTCCGCTCAAGAATGTTCAAGCTTATATATTTTAATTTGAGATCTTTAAATCTAGAAGAATTGGATGAAATTATAACTTTGAATCATGGTCGTGTAGTCTTTGCTTCGATGTTTTGATTTTCATATTTTCTGCATTATGTTTTTCACACTTTTATTTTGGTTTCTTAATTAACATAATTAATTTCAGTTGCATTCCAACAAATTCCGGTTTTTATTCCAAATGCGATGGCTTCATTTTGTTACCGTTACGTTCGTACAATACAATAAACCAAATGAATGATACTCGTGTTATACATAATATACTGGCCCATGCATTGGTTGTGCTACTCACCCGTGCATGTTCACGCACAATTTAATGCAACGTAAGCACGCAACGCACGCGGCCTATACAATATATATTCATATACATACGCTGCGCCAGCATCACCAAACTCGAGCTTTGCGGTGCCAGGTTTCGAGTTCGGTGGTCGTTTTCCCGAAGCGGCTTTGCATTCTAAACTACAGAGGCTCTTTGTCCGTGCCTATATACGGTGGGATAGCTTGGTAATCCACCCGTCCCTCTCCGACCTTCCTCTGTTTCCTCCCTGCCTCCATTTTTCAACTTCCTCCCTTTCCAACCTTGCACCACACCCTTCCTCTTTTCAGCCTCTCCTGCCTTTTATTTAAAACCTTTTTTATTCACATTCTTCTGTTGTGACTCTTCTTATCTTTTCCATTTCATGCTCATTCCCTTCCTCGATTCTCTCTCTTCATTCACCACGCTTGCAAAACGGTAGGTATTAATCTAAACTAATGAAGCTCATCGAATTTTCTTTGACCAAGACTTACGAATTGTCAGCGTTCAGTTTAAGTTTAACGATCATCGATCCTGCGTACAGCAAGTTAGGTTGATGAGAGTTAATTATTCCGCCTGGATGTTCTTTTTCCATTCCATTTTACTCACTAGCCTGGTTTATTCATAGTCATCTTTTTGCTCCATGATTCAGCTTTTCCTTTCGACTCCATTCGAGCGACGTTTGAACTGCGGGGTGCTGAGCAGCGAGTGTGACTTGCAGATTTGCGTGTCAGTCTCGCTCTTCGTTTCACTTCCTATTCAGACTCGAATCTCCTTTACTGTATTGTGAAAAGTTTATTTCCCTTAAACCCAGCATTACGATTCTAAATGTCTGATTTCAATACTTGGTTTTAATTTCTGTTTTTTTTTTATTGCAGTAGTTGAACTTTTAGAGTGATCATCAATATATTGTTTCGATGAAAAATGTTTATACACCATGCTCTCTATTTATTATTATTATTTTTTTTAGACTGAGACTCCTAAAAATGTTAGCATCGGACGATCGGAGTCGTTTTAAATGCTGCCGTGCTGGAAACGTACGACAACTTGGCCCGCTACAAACCGCGATGTACGACAACAGAAACCAAATGGGCGGAGTCTGCGCTTGCGGGTTGAACACACTCAATAGGTTTAAGAAAAAAAACTTCCGTCTTCGCTTCACACGTTTTTTATGACCTCCTCCGATCGAGGACAATTGAAGAGGCTTCAGTGTTGGCCTTATCCTTTGATAGCGTCTTCTCCATCTAAAAAATATTGCCTGCTCTGGTACAACTATCAATTAATAGTGCATTTTTAGTTATCATGCACCATTACTTTACCTTCGGATTTTGTATACAATTATCTGTACGGAAGATAACCTGTTTAGCGTAGCATGGGTTCTGCGATGAAATGATCTGTTCCACATCATAATTGATTAACGTTTTCTTCACGAAGAAAAGAGATTGTTCTGCAAAGAGGTACAATCAAATCTATTTGTAAACCTTTTTCTAATTGTGAAAGTAATATTTAGCGTTTCAAATTCAGGTTAATTATCTTCACGGTCAAAATTTAATGCTATCATTTTTTTTTCTTCTGCAGCTGAAGGCGACCTACGAAGTTTCAGTAAGCGCACTTCTTTTTTCCGATCGAACCATTCAACGACCTTATCTCAACCTTCACCACCACTCTTGGCCGCGTCCTCATCACATCACACCTGTGGACCACCAAGCACCACTTCCACTAGTGGTGTTAGCGTTACACCTGGTGTCAGTAGGAGTGTCAACACGAGTGTCGAAGAATCCATTCACGACGTCACTAGCAGCAGCATTGGCGGTGACGATGGTTTCTCCCGTTTGCATTTGGTCACCAACACGAACAGCATCGATCGAAAACTTTTCTTCAAGAACAAAAAGAAAAAGAGTACGAAAGTTTCACGGCCTTTGTTCCCATATTCACACGTACACCCGCAACCACCACATTTACACAACACAAGTAACGCCGGCAGCAGCACCACTCTTCAGAGCTGTACTCTGAATACCACCCTGAATCATTCGAGCATCACCTTGAACGTCACCACCAACACCACACTCAACACCATCGCTGCCATTAACAACATCAATATTTCAAATTCTATTTTCGGGGCTCCGACTGGGGCTTTGTTCACCAAGACATCCAGGCCTCCTGACATCGAGAGGCTCTACCTGCATGCTGGCGACACTCCTCTGCATTTCATGCGCTCTATGGGCCTTAGGAGGTGAGTAGTGATGTAGATGCTTGTGGACACTGATAGTAGTGTCGGCCAGTGCTATTTTATATTGCTGATTGCGACTGATAATTATCACTGGCGTCGTGTAAAATGTTACGAAGTCCGTCAGTGGCCAGTAGCGCCTATACACGAGGACAGAAGTGATGGCCAACACAACTTTCTAGTACTAACTTCGACTAATTTTCACTAACCTCGTATAAAGTTCTACTGAATCTTACCGAGGCCAGTAGTGGTGGCGGTGGTGTTGGCGGCGATAATTTTGGTGGCTGTAGAAGTATTAGTGGCGATGGATGGTAACCGCTACCACCATGGATTAACGGTGGGAGAGATGGTGGCGGCGCGGCGGTTTGGGTTGGGGCGGTGATTGTGGTGGTGACGGTTTGGTTAATGGCGGTGATTGTGGTGGTGTCGGTTTAGGTAATGACGGTGATGGTGGTGGTGACGGTTTGGTTAATGACGGTGATTGTGGTGGTGACGGTTTGGTTAATGGCGGTGATTGTGGTGGTGACGGTTTGGTTAATGACGGTGATTGTGGTGGTGACGGTTTGGTTAATGGCGGTGATTGTGGTGGTGTCGGTTTAGGTAATGACGGTGATTGTGGTGGTAACGGTTTGGTTAATGACGGTGATTGTGGTGGTGACGGTTTGGTTAATGGCGGTGATTGTGGTGGTGACGGTTTGGTTAATGACGGTGATTGTGGTGGTGACGGTTTGGTTGATGGCGGTGATTGTGGTGGTGTCGGTTTAGGTAATGACGGTGATTGTGGTGGTAACGGTTTGGTTAATGACGGTGATTGTGGTGGTGGCAGTTTAGGTAATGGCAGTGATTGTGGTGGTGGTGGTTCAGGTGATGGCTGAGGTATTGGTGGTGTTTGTTGGCAATATAGGTAGTAGTGATGTTGGTGCCGATTGAGGTGCATTCACCCAAATGTTATATAATTTTGGATAAATTGATGATATTATAGTATTTTATAGTATTTTCGTAAACGCAATTCGTGATTATTGAAGTTATCCCTGACAGGAACGACGGCGTGCGCAGCTCTCGGTACTATACCTGTGAGCCTGTCATGGGTGACTCGCTTAAACGAGAGCGCTACAAGAAACTCAACCTCGACATCGAGACCAGGCGGGTGAGTACATTTTTTTAAACAGTATTTATTCCTTTATTTGGCATTAGTGTAGCTTGAATAAAATATGTGTTATGTGGATTAGGTTGCGCATGGGTGCTTCGACTTAAAGTGGTTATTGAATTATCCCGAAAACAATTTTTATGTTTAGTTTTGGTCCTGTCTATCAACGACATTGTTGATCAACATACTGCTGGCTTACTTGGCTATTGAAATTATTACTAACCAGACCCAAATCGTTTCCGAGTTCCTCTCATAAGCAATAACGGCTATCCCTTTTTTGAGTAACGGCCAATAAATCTTAAGTTAGGTTTTGTAACTTTGTCGTGCTAGTGTCGTTTGGCCTTATAAATTGAAACTTTGGTTCACAATTATAGTGGAATGGTCGTGATGAGGCAACGGATAAGGTTTTGGCTCAGCACGAGCACTCATGAGAGCATTTTGATGAGAAATTCGACGAATAACGGGAGGGTTCTTCATTATAATGATAGAATTTAAACGATTAGTTTTACGATCTCTAGGTGTTTCGCATATGTATTTTTTAATGCGGGAAATATTGTGGTAATGAGATTTTGATTTATGTAAATAATTGCCAATAACGCATCAAAAATAAGAAAATATACCGCTCGATTGTGTACTGAATAGAGACCAAGTCTAACTGGACGTAATTGTGCGCTCGGGATAGAGTTCTAGTTTAGTTGGAGTTTCCCTTCAGTGTAGTTTTCTTCGAATTACAACGTAGAAAATGGATTTCTTAAAGAGGTAGACTCATTTAAAATTAACTGCGATCTGCTTCCAAAGATATTCTGATAATAATCCCTGGCTAAATTGCGCTGCACATATCGCGGCTTCACTTTATAGCGTTATTTCAAGGAATATCAATTAGAAACATAATTAATTAATGAAAGCCATGAAATAAAATTTTTTTAAAGAGAACATTCATTCGCGGATCTTGGCTGGTTCGCGGGTTTTTTTAGGAAAGGAAGTTAATGGACAGATTTGAACAGCCAGCGGAACTCGATCGGCAGCAAGAGTGTACTGTAGGAAGTAGTATCAGACAGTCTATCAGTCAATCAAGAAGTATCCGATTTCACAATTCGGGGCCCAGGTTAACTCAGCTTAGCACCTGCGAAATACGAGGCATTACTGTAGTAGTTTAATTAAACAATAATCCATCGCTGTTTTTTTCTTCAATTCTTCACAGTCCTGAGGTGTGTCATGCAAAGCCTGTAAACCTGAATTTCCTGAATTATTGTTAAATATAATGCTAAAGCCATCGGAACTAATTTTATTTTACAAAAACTCGAATCGAAAAAAACGAACTATTAAAATCAACGAATTGTTTGAATCCAATTACGTATGTGACTTTAAATTGAAGACGATAAAATGTATTTCATACATTATTACCAAAAGTTACAGTCTAATTTATGAAGTTTTCGTATGAATGCCACTTGAGAATGGGTGGATTCCTCGCCACCGGCTAATCAAGGCTACTTGGAATCTGTCGCTCCAGCCTCACAACACATCACGGATGTGATGGATTACATCCGACGCTTTGTTGCGCCTACGCCGCGTACGAGACTAAACATCACTTCAGTTACTGGCGATAAACTTTCAGATACTGGGGGCGGAGGCTGGGGGATATTTTGAAACAAAGCATTTCATGAAATAAATTTAAATGAACACAGTTAAATTCGGACAGTTTGTGCCGTTTTTTTTATTCCGGCAATACTAAGTAAATACTATTTTATATTACTTTCTTGCACATTGATCTTTAATATTTACAGCTACATTTATCTTAACTTCTACTACATTGATCATTTCTCACCATTGAGCAGCAATTCTAAATAGATAATTACTCCTTCATTTACCAGTACTCCTGCATCGACCATTACCTCTTTATAATCAGTATTATTCTACATTTTGTTGTCACGTATCCAAGTTTGAAGTTTTACTTTAAACTCATTTAATTGAACGAATTACTTCGCAGGTGGATCCATTAAAAATATCTCTTGTAGAAATTCAATTCCAGGTCTGTGCCTACTCAATACCTGACGACAGTGAAATTTTTTGTAACCATGACGCCCGTGCTAAGTGTCGTTCGTTCACTATCTAATTTCCTTAATTGCTGCTCTGCTGTGGTTGTTAGGGACTGCTGAACTCTGTGATGAATGATGATAGAGCAAACTTGTTATTTTGGGGATATTCTTACTAGCAAGTTCTAGTCTGTTTTCTGTTTTAAAAAGCTAATGTTGAAACTTGGATACATGAAAGATGGGCGATTTAAGGGTTACTTATTCTTTTATTACGTTTCATATGGTAATCAATATAAATATATCCATGAAGAAAAGTTTCGTTAGGAAGAGAGTCTAGGAGCCGCTGGAAGTTGCCGATGAGAGAGACCGCGTTCGTCACCGAAATACAAAACAAGTCAGTGTGGCAATAGCCGTGGTCATGAGTGGTTGTGCGCGCGATCATTGCAGCAGCGTCTGTTCTTTCCATTGATTTTCTCTCGAGCGGCGACGAGACCTGAGTGAGCGTCGTCGGCCGCTTCAGCTCTTCTTTTGAGTTAATGGTTATTAATTTATTGAAGAACCAACGAAGTGTTGTGTTAAGATTATAGTTTGAACAATAATGATTGCTTGCAGGCATCGCTGGAAGCGGTCGAAGTTGTCCCTTGTGAGATGAAATCTCTTTTTGTTGAAGCTGATAATGGCGATAGCCTAGCCTCTGCCATTTTCCCCATTACGTCCAACTGCTTACGCAATTTAGTCGAAATATATTTTTAAATAATAATTCCAACCATCTCGTTAATGAATTTAGTAATTTCAATGTAAACTATTATATCCACATTATAAAATTGTAATCTTTTCGAAGAATGCAAAAATTTCTTTGGGTCAGAAACAACATCAAAATCTATCCTTGGCCCTCAATTTTTGGCATTATTATCAGCGGATACTTTTACGTGTAATTCGTTACAATTAAATAGTTAAACGAAGTGTTCGTAATTTACTGGTTAATGCATGCTGATACATGCGTGTTTCGTGCTGAAAAAAAATTTTTGAGATTCAAAACTTGATAAAAATTTAATTTTATGAAATTGTTGAAATTTATTACAAAATGAAGATGTACGACTAGTAATAATAGAAGGAATGTGTGCATAAACAAAAATAATGGAGAATCAAACCAGTATTTTTTCATTCTTAATTTTGTTATACTTTGTGGCAAATAATAGTCCTTCCATAACCGCAGTCAACAATAGTGCTTGCTCACATGATGTCAGTGTTTAAAACTTTTTGGGTGGGGGCAATCCACATGTAAAATGATTAATATAATAAACGAGTCATTGCAGGAAAATTTTTAACTTTCTAAGAAATTTAATGGTAAGAAAATTGTCTGGCAATAGTAAATATAAATAAATTACCTTAATTGGAAGAACTGAAACAATTCCTAAGTAAACGATTGCCACTAATCTTTTATCAGGAAAAGGGCAGTAACTGCTAATATTTTATTGAGTAATCACAAATTTATTTTATGTTGATATTTAACACTTCGCAAAATTCTTTTCTCTCACCGTACTGATAACTCGAATTGTCTTGTCTAGCCGAGCTATTGACGTAGCCGACATCTTAGGTAGCAAGCGGTGTAGTGCACACCGCCATATCTTTGGCTCACTGTGTTAAATATTTATTATGTCAGATTGCTTACTGACGTTAAACCTAAACGCTCTTTGTGAACTCTGCACAGCGTGAGAGTTTAACGATCTACACTGCGTGGGCGTCGTAAAATGCTCCTTGAAACGATAGCATTTTCGTCGAAACGTTGAAAACGGAGAATTTTGCGCTAACGACTTTGAAATTTTTATGGAAAATTCTTCTCCCACATTATATTTTCTCCCACATTATATTATGCTTAAGCTCTTTTTGTGGTATGATTTAACAAATTTAAATAGAGCTTGCAGATTGGCGAGTCATTGGCACAACGCACAGTTGATGAAATGATGTTTATCATACACACGAAGTTCGTGAACTGTGCTTCAGTGATAAGTCAAGTCTCCAGTTTGTGGGACCTCGATGGGATACGTCAAGCCTGCTATTTGTAGGATCTAGACAGGGTTCGTCAAGCCTGCTATTTGTAGGATCTAGACAGGGTTCGTCAAGCCTGCTATTTGTAGGATCTAGATAGGGTTCGTCAAGCCTGCTATTTGTAGGATATAGATAGGATTCGTCAGGTCTTCAGTTTGTAGGATCTCGATTTGACAGGTCGAGTCTCCGGTTGGTAGGATCTCAATAAAATCTTGCTACCACGATTCCTCCGTAGAGCAGTTTTCGAGCATGCAATGTAATCCACGTCGTCATGAAAAGAACAAAGGACATTCGGCCCATTTATAGGCATAAGAATAGGTATTCCTGCAGCGTCGCTGTCTTGCAATTTCGTAACGTGTTGTGACACTCTTTAAGCCAAGAAAATTCTGTTGTTTAAAATAAATTCTTATCATGTGCGTATAGCTGGCATGTAATTCTCGTCTTATTCGTCTTATTGGGCACGAGATTAAAAGTATGCTTTGGAATGTTGCTCATTATGAGGGTATCACGACGTTAGATTTTGAAGCTCCTCGATCAGAGCAAACAGGAAATTTTAAAGCTAGCAAAACGTTCATTCATAATTATGAGTTATGATAACGGTATCAAATTAGTTTCGTCTTTTTTTAGGCTGACATTTCATAATAATTTTCTTTCTAGTTTTCATAAATAATTGGTCTACTGTAAAAGAAACTTGTACTATATTTTTGCTGTTATATTCAACTCAAAAATTATATTTTACACATCTCTGCATGCGTCAATTTAAGGAATATGTTTTTTACACAATCGGTCAAATTTCTTTCGCATTTAAGGATACTATCTGTGGCAGCATCAACCTGGGCCCATACTTTCAAAAAAAGTTAAGAGATCGTAAGTTCATCACCCAATCAATGACGGCCTTTTAAGCAAAATCCACCAATC